TCCTCCTCTCCTCTCCTCTCTGTCCTCCTCTCCTCTCCTCTCTCTGTCCTCCTCTCCTCTCTCCTGTCTCTCCTCTCCTCCCCTCTCCTCTCCCCTCCTCTCCTCTCCTCTCCTCTCATCTTCTCTCCTCTCCTGTCTCCTTCTCTGTCCTCTCCTCTCTGTCCTCTCCTCTCTGTCCTCCTCTGTCCACTCCTTTCCTCTCCTCTCCTCTCCCCTCCTCTTGTGCAGTCTCCTCTCCTCTCCTCTCCTCTCCTCTTCTCTTCTCTTTTGTTGTGTTCTCTTCTCTTCTCTTCTCTTGTCTTCTTGTCAACAGAGCGCTGTGAATTTCCTGACAAACGAAAGAGGAAGCAGCCGTTATCTTCATTGACTTTGAGAAGGCATATGATCATGTGGACGGGGTTGTCCTTTTTTTGTTTTGTTTTGTGGACGAGGTTGTCCTGGATAAGCGGATGAAAAAAAATGTATAGGAAAGTAAATGAATTTTGGCCAACACTTTGGGAAATGGGTAGCAATACTCCAACACCAGGAGTCTGTTGCCTTCACGAATATTGGCCCTATTGGGAGATCATTTGCGAACAGTGCGCGCAGATGGGGAGGCCGTCGTCCGACAACCTTTTGATGGCTATCTAGCCCCGCAACTTAGTCTCCAGCATTCCGTGCGGCGTGTGCCGAGGGGACCCGATAGCGCCTCTCCTGTTCATGATAGTTAATGGAGGCCCCAGCATCTCATCCGAAATCTTACCAAAACTTGCGCTGTATCGAGGGGGTAGGCCGGTTGCCGCACGACGCCCTCCCCCCCATCCGCGCGCACTGTTTGCAAATGATCTCCCAATACTCATGGAGGCAACAGGGGCCAACATGAAGGAGTTTTCGAGGCAGTCATCGAGCGCTTTGAGCAGGGTCCCGGATATGGTAGTTAAGTAGGTTGGTGGATATCCCATCCAATGGGTAGTAAGGTTATTTCCACCAACCTAAGGTTATTTCCCCCCCCCCCTATCTTTGATCCTTAACCTCCACAGAATGGAGACATGTTGTGTAGAATTGCATTGCAAAAAAAACTTTTGCCTGAGGGTCACCTTAGAATTACTCAGAGAATCAAAGATAAAAAATAAAAAATAAAAAATAAAAAGAATCGAACTTAGGCACCCCCCTTTAAACTCCTTTAGCCATGTTAGGCCGCTTTAAGCCCCATTATACCCCCTTTTCTTTCCCTCCGTCAATGAACAACATTGAATCTTTTTTCTTTGTCAGTGTGTTCTTGTTGATGGAGGCAAACGGGGGTATAAATGGGGCTTAAAGGTACCTATCAGGGCTTAAAGGGGCCTGACAGGAGGAAAAGGCCCACCAATGAAAAGGTAAATTATTAAAATTAGAAAAAAAAAAGACTGGGCCACCTTCACGCGTGCCCAGCCAGGTAAGCCCCATTTATTATAACCCCCTTTCCCTCCATCAACGGGCAACACTGGAAAAAAAGAACGAGGCCAGATTTGGGCTGCTTTTTGTGGGCGCAGAAAAGCCCCACCCTGGCCACGCATATAAAAATCAATTGAAAAAAAAAAAATCCCAGAGTTTTTATATGCCCAGAGGTACCCTGGGGAAGCTGCGAAGGCTGGGCCCCCTGCACGCGTGCCCAGCCTGGTACCCTAGATAAGATCTCCATCCTTTGATAAAAACTGGAAGGTCTTTTTGAGACTTTTACTTTTTTCTTTTTTTAACTAAGGAATGTTATCTGTGACTATCAGATGCCCTTTTTGCTTTTTCTGATTAATGGAAGCTCTTGTTTTCTTTTCTTTTCTTTTTCTTTTTCCAAATTAGGGCCTTATGGCCTCACCCCCTGTTATTGTGGGGAGCGTAAGTCCAGTTCCTTCTCTAACTAGCGGAAAGCTTCTGTGCTGGATTCTTTTTTTGGGCTTCATTAAATATTCAAAAAAAAAATGAACAGGTCGGCGAGCTCATAGGAGGCAGCCAGAGGGAGGAACGACTTGAGGTGAGCACTTAAAATTACCTGATTAGGAAAGGCATATGATCTCATATTAACCTGACTGTCACCACTTCTGCTGACCTGGCAAGGTTGCCAAGACACGGACGGACCATACACACAATGTTTTTTTTTTTTTTTTTTTTTTTTTTTTTTTTTTTTTTTTTTTTTTTTTTTTTTTTTTCGGGGGGGGGGGGGGGGAGAGGGGGAGAGTGCAGTGTAAAAGCTATTTTGATCTTTAACGTGTGAACACAATTGATGTGCTAAGTGTGAGGATGCCCGTAGTGGGAGCAATCACTGACGGAATAGAGGAAAAAAGGCTCTCGAGTTTTGACGAACTTGAGTGCCTCTTTTCTGCTCCTTCTCTCCCTTTCTGCATATAGTTCCTTTTTTTTTTTTTCTCATCTGCCTATGGTTCGGTCTTAACACACCAGTTCTATCATTCTATGTGATTATTTTAATTTATTTATTCATAGTATTCATACTCAAACCAGCGGGGCTGCCCGAGCCTAGTTTGTAGAACCAAAACTTTTTAGCCGACCCTGGAGATTCTGAACGTTAGTGGAGGCTGGGGGCAGCCTTGGAAAAAACGAAAAAACAGCGGCGCAACCGTCGTGATCAGGATCAGTTTGTTGGTAGTCTGGTGGCCTCTGGAGAAAAAAACTGAGTACGGACGTCGCCCGGCCGGGCTAGGCCTGGGTGGGCTGCCCGGGCAAACCAGGCGGGCAAAAAAACAGCCCAGAAATTTATTTATTCATTTTTTGAAGGTGGGGTCCTCCTGTGCTCAGCGAGAGGACCCCGAATCTGCAATAAAATTCTGGTTTGGGGGGGGGAAGAGTTGCCCGGGAGTGAGGGGGGGGTTGTTTCTGGGTGTTGGGGACTCTGCATGTATGTTGCCTGCTGTTTGCTGCATGTGGGAGGGAGGGATGGCGAGATACTATGGCGAGGTGTGGATATGGGAGAGAGGGAGGGATGGCGAGATGGTGAGGGAGGGAGGGAATATGGCGAGATGTGGAGATGGGACGGACTATGCCGAGATGGGAGAGAGGGAGCTATGGCGAGATGGCGAGAGAGGGAGGGACTATGGTGAGATGGGAGGGAGGGAGGGAGGTACTATGGAAGATGAGGGGGAGGCGGAGGAGGAGAGAAGTACAAGAAGTAACAGAAGAAGAAGATGAGGAGAGTAGGGGGAAGGAGGATTTTTTTTATTTTTATTTTTTTTTAACCTGCCGCGTCTCACGCGACCTACCAAACGATGGACAAGATGGCGGCGGCGGCAGGGCGGTATGGCTGTCTCTTATACACATCTAGATGTGTATAAGAGACAGCTCTCTCTCTCTCTCTCTCTCTCTCTCTCAGTTTAGCCTCTCTCCTGACCTGTGTAGCCAGCAGCCTGCTGAGTCTACGACAAGCAATTGCAGATTGTAATGGACACTTCCACCATTTGTGTTTTATGGACGCAAAACTCTGACTAACAAAAAACTGGAAGGAAAAAAAAAAAAAAAAAAAAAAAACCTGGAAGAAAAACTCTTTCGAAAGGAATGCAAACTTGCAAAGCAGAATACCACATACTAAGGGTCTCGCCGCACGGCACACGAAACGGAAACGAAAAGCGTGCATCTGCCCACGAAAGGTGGCAAAATACACTCGTTACTATTTATAGTAAACCGATGAACCTGGCCATTTTCTGCAGGTAGATGCACTCGTTTCGTTTTTCGTTTCGTGTCCCGTGCGGCGACGCCCTAAGATTATTGTAAAGTCGAAACACAGAGACATCCCTTTTTTTCTTAAGTTCTTTGTCATAAATTCAAAATAGTAATAAAAATGGAGGAAGGAAAAGTCCCAGGCATGGAAAGTTTTTCTAAGGAGTTATTGACTGTTGTGTGGGACTGCATGTACCTGGAGTTCGTCGGCTTGTAGCAGGCAGTTTCGGAAGAAGAAAAACAATGGGGGGAATTTGTCAGCCAAGAAATAGTCGTCGCCGCACCCTCCCCCACCGTACAAAAAAGGTGGAATTTGTCAGCGGAGAAATACTCGTCTTCCCCCCCCTCCCCCCCCTGGGCAAGAAAGGGGGAAGTGGATATCAGAAACTAAAAAAAGAGAAGCAGCTGCCACGGCCATAAGGACCTGGTTTTTTTTTTTCTTTCTTTCTTTCAAAATAAACAAAAAAACACCTACCAGGCTACCACCCATTGGCACCCAATCACCCTGATAACAGTAGTCTCTTTTTTTTTCAAAATAAACAAAAAACACCTACCACCCATACGGGCCTGGGCAAGCTCCTCGCTGATCTTCTCCAACGAGTCCGGCATGAGATCATATCTCATCACATAAGCAGTCAAATTGATGCAGGGTTGAGTCATTCAAGAGAACATCTTTCTTGTCAATGAAGTCCTGTGACTTTCCTGACAAAAGAAAAAGGAAGCGGCTTTTAAATATCTCGTTCATTTTGAGAATAGATCCTGTGCTCTGTCAGAGACTGACATCTCAAAGCTCATTCATGCATTCATGAACTTAGAAAACCGAAGACAAGTCACACATGCACTCAACACACACAGCTCTGCTCTGCTCTGCTCTGCTCTGCTCTGCTCTTCTCTTCTCTCCTCTCCTCTCCTCTCCTCTCCTCTCCTCTCCTCTCCTCTCCTGTCTCCTCCTCTCTCCTCTCCTCTCTTCTCCTCTCCTATCCTCACTTCTCCTCTCCTCTCCTCTCCTCTCCTCTCTCTGTCCTCCTTTCCTCTCCTCTCTCTGTCCTCCCCTCATCTCTCTCCTCTCCTCTCCTCTCCTCTCCTCTCCTCTCCT